CTGTACTATACTACACTATGCTCTACGACAGTGTACTAGGCTGTGCTATGCTGTAGCGTCGCATCCTGGGCCTTCAATCGCAGTTGCACAGCGGCTCGGTGCTAGAACTCCTCCTATTCGGTCTTACTCTTTGTCTTACCGGCCTCTTCTTGTCATCTGCTGCGTGATGACCCATCAGGGGACTCAGGAGTCTTTAACACTATTCATACTAATCTGAGAATCTTACTATTAGTTTGTATATTATACAAATTGCAAATACAGTGTATAAATTGCAAAATCTGCAGCCTTTCACCCCCTCTAAACCTTGTTGCTCTTGCCGTTTGCATCGCTGTTGTCACCGTGAGGCAATGTATATGTGGAGGGGGGTCTGTGTAGGCCTTGCAGTCTTACTTACTATGATGCTACTGTCAGCATGTCAAAACAATTTCTTGGTTCTTATTTCAGCGCCCAGGTTCCGCCGTTTCCAGAAGCCTTCAGATGACAAGAGGCCGCTGCCTGTTCTGGAGGAGGGCTCGGGGCTCCTCTCATTTTGCTTCTTTCTCATGTCCGGATAGAGTGTCATGATCTCGCCGCGAGACAACCCGACACACCTCTCGCCGGGTAAGCATTCCCGCATGCTTTTCCATTCTGCGAGTTCAGGGGCCGCACGTGGACCTCAGGCTCTTATGCATTAGGTATTCGGGGAGGCAAGCATGACGTCTTATGTTCCAGACAGGTGGCATGTACAGGGCAAAGCCTTGCTCTAAGCCTTGCGGCTTCTAGCGGATCTGGGATGGCTTTCCGCCGCCTTCCTGTGTCAGAGTCCATCATGCAGGAGAATTTGGTGCGTGCAAACGTGCGGATGATGCCCCTTAGTGTGCTGGTGTCCGGAGGCCTGTGGGAGACGGGACATGTAACGCTATACAACAGTTCCGACTTGCGAATTCGTTGTGCTGGGAGCCGGCATGCTTGATGTGACGCGGCAGGCCGCGCTTCCCGTGATGTGACGGAGACGCTTCGGCAAGGCGGCGACGGGGCCCAAAGCGACGCGGAGCCGCTCGCCCGACGGTTCAGGGGCACACAAGCCAGGGCACAGAAGTCTGCACCTCCATCAAAGAACTTTTGACTTTGCGAGGCTTTCAGTTTTGCGCACTTTGAATATCTACTTGGACGGGCCTCACAAGCTTCGATTTTTTGCCATGAAAGAAGCCCTGCAAGCACCTCGCTATCCTGACACCCTCTGCCCCAAAGCATCCCGGACAGGTTCAGCGTTCTGTGGGACCTGCGCTGGCACGGAACCGCCATCTTCACCTTGACGCGCTCGCGTGCTGGATGCTCGGCTCTGCAGCCTATAGGGCAGTTTGCGCAACCTCAGGCGTCTGCTAGAGTTTCGTGCTTTGGCCTCAGTGTGTACCAATTGTATAATAAGTGTCAGGTCTTCCGCGTCCACAGGGCATGCTGTCGTTTCTGTGTATAAGCCAGGCACCCCTCAAAGCACGTTCAGATCAAGGGGTGGAAAAGTCCCATGTTGGACTTCGATGTGCAGATCTGCAAGGCATTTGGAGTGCGCACCTCTTGATGTAAGTGCAATTCTGTTGACGAAGGCTTCGTGACCTTGCCGCTGCTCCTCCTTCCAATCCTGGCGATGTTGGGCTCGGGCTTTGCGCAGGCTTTCGCTGCTCAGTTGCTGGTGCGTGGGTTTTCGTTGTTTGTTTGGCTCTGGACCCCTGCGATAGGATTCTGCAGCCAATTACTCCGGATTCGACATTATGTGCCCCATGCAGTTGTGCTTGCATGCTGTGCAACAGCCTCAAATCCTAAATGCTCCCCCAACGATATTCCTACCTGGTTCTCATCATGCCTAGATAGTTAGAGTTCGCATCTTGTCCCTCAATGGTGTGTTTATTTATACTCCCCACATATCATCCTGTGTTTCTACTATACCCACATATCATCCCTTCATAACCCCTATGAACAAATTGTGTGTTGCAGTGGAGAGGCGGCGTCTCTGCTTTGCGACGCCCCGGAGCTTTCGCAGCTCCATGTGGCTTTTCCTGAGGATGCGGTCCAGTTCCAGCCGTGGCCTGCCTGAGATCCAAGCGGTGGTTTGGCGGGTGTGACGGTGTGCAGGAGGTGCTGTTGCATGTCCGGCTGGAAACCTGCAAGGCAAAAGCCCTTACTTTTGACTGCTTTTCAGCAGTTGCAAGAGGCGGATTCCCTTCAAATCTCAGCTAATTAACCTGGATCCCATCGAAACGAGGTGGATCCATCACTACGACGTTCCCCTAGACGGCAGCTTCACCCAGACCTTTGTGGCACCTTGGACCTTGCAGCGTCATGGAAGTGTCACAGAGCTACATGTGAGGCTAGCCTGGGTGGCTATGGATAGTTCTCCATTCCCCAAGAAGCCTTCTTTCATCCCATTATAGACCCTTTGTATCCCTTGCAGGTCTCGCTTCCCCTTTTTCAGAAACTCCCAACAGCAGTAAACACGAAAGAGTTGCCGCTCCAAAGCTTGCGACCTAGCCTAAGACGATTCTCTGCTTGTTGAACTCATATGGAATTCACAACACGCCCACGTGGGTCAGAGTTCAGTTCCACCGGTGGCTAGCACATGTATATGGACTCAAGTGCCGAGGTAGCGTCGGCTGAGGAGTCCAACACCACCATGCTCTCCATCGGAGGCAATGTCTCTTCCAGCAGCCGGTCTGCATGTGGTTATAAATTTGTTGTGAAAGCTTGTACCTGGGTGCCCCCTGGCCACGGGTATACAGAAATGCAAGTTTCCTGATACGCACGTTCTTGGTGGTCGGTAGGGAATGAGGGAACAGACGATTAGGATTACTACTAGGGTTTATGTATAGGGGTGACAGAGCGACTCCCACAAGGATCCATTCCCCCATTCCGTATTAATCATCACATGAGAAGCCTAAACCCGAAACCAAAACGCGTAGTGCCTTGCGCAAAAAGGTACTGCAAGAAAGTTCCTAGGACTTAAGCCCCAGACCCTGTCCGATAGGCTTCCCTTGTGAATCACGAGCAATCACAAGGCTTTTCTTGTGATTCACAAGCAATCACAACGCTTCCCCTGTGAGTCACAAGCAATCACAAGGCTTCCCTTGTGATTCACAAGCAATCACAAGGCTTCCCTTGTGATTCACAAGCAATCACAGGGCTTTCCTTGTGAATAGTCTCCCAAAGTGTGGTTCTTCCAGATAGACCACATGATGTCACGAATCCAAGTTCAAGTTCTGATGCTTCAAAACTGAAACCTGAACCTACCTAATTATTACCCTGCATAATTATCTTGTATATCCCGTACACACCCCCCTATATACTCTAGACCCCGCTTCACCACGTAAAATTCTACACATCCTTGTATACCCCTATAGAGCCCATATCTTTCAGGACTGGGCCCCAACCGATGGTGCCACAACACGAAAGCCCTTCAGTTCAAGCATGTAATAAGCAACGCGAAGCTGAATGCTGGTGTTCATTTACATACACCTTTGATGTTGCTATGATATTTCCGACTTTCAGTATCGCCAGCATCAGTCGCGCCATCGTTTGTTGCAGGAAGGTTGCATTATGTGAAGACTTGTGTACTGCCCTTCCCCGTGACAAAGTGATTCTTCCGTCTATGCACACATCTTCCCCGCTCTTCATCTTGTTAATGACAAGTACCAGAAGCAGCATCGCCATTTAATCTCTCCCCTGCAATCTGCTCCCAGGCAACAGCTCCGCCTCGGCCACTGTGGCATTGCTTGGGCCACTGCCGCACTTGGCCACGGTGCCTTGAGCTTTTGGGGCGGTCTTGGGGGGTGCTTTCGTTTTTACGAGCTCTTGCCTTCATTCCACTGGCGTTCTTTGCAGAGGAAATCAGGGGGGGTACAATGTACAAAGTCGGGAGCCGTTCGAGCAGCTGCTTTGCGCAATGGGCAAGGCTGGAGGGATGTTGCGCTTAAGCGCCAGGTGCAGAAGCAGGGCCTCCAGCACAAGCACGTCCGCTACGACGTGGCCTTCCTGCCCATCACGACCCTGCCCAGCCAAATAAAGATCAGTGGGCCAGACTCCTGGGTTTGGAGTATGATCATACTTGAATATTTTGTTGGTGCCTGTTCCTTAAAGGAACCATTATGAAATGAAAGTCTATACTCTTTTTTTCCTGGTTACGTCAAAGTCCAGGACTTCGAGCGGCACCTGCCCTGGTCCGAGGTTCCAGGCACGCCATGTTCAGCTTTTGAAGATGCCCCGAAACCTAAACCCCAAACCCTAAAGCCCTGAACCCTCAACCTGAAATCCCTGAGCCCTGAACCCCTGGGTGGACCTTTCTGAGTAGAATCGAATTCATCATTTTCAGCTTCGGCTCAGGGCTGAAGAGGGCTTGGAAGTCGTAAGCCGCGTCTTGGGGTGAGTTGGGCGTCGGAAGCTGCTGAATGCTTTGCGCGTGCCTTGGGGTTTGGCTTATAATCTGCACCCCAAATATCCTTGAAGACGAGATGAACCCCAAAAAGGGGTTATATAAGGTTCATATATAATATAGGGATTCATAGTATTGTCCTTACCCAGAGGCCCCTTTTTGGGATTACCTTATAGGATCTATATACGAGCCCCAAAAAGGAACCACTTTGGGGCCTTTGGGCAAGGACCCCAACCCCTAAACGTGGTTTTCATCCCTGCCAGGCTCGGTCATCAGCCTCCCCGAGTCGCTGGGGAAAGCGGAGAAGATCTGCTTGGAGGTTCGGGTGGTTGTCAAAATTGGGGTCCCTTCCAGGACCCCCCAATGGCCCTTTAATGGAGCTCTTATGGTCCTTATAATAGTGTGTATTCAGGGTATATTCGGGGGTAGTTCGGGGGTTTAAGTTTTCATTTTTGGGGTATCCTAAAGGTCCCTTGTCAGCACCGGTGCCGTATTACACTATGGACCCAGACAGGGACCCTAATTTTGACAACCACCCAGGTGGTCCTCACAGACTACGAGCTCAGCGTGCCGCAACCATGTGACTGGACGGGCTTCTCGAATGGCGTTTTCACCACCTTCTGCAACTACTCGTACCACAACTGCGACGAGCGCCATCTGCGCCCATCAGCCCAACTGCGTATCCGCCAGCCTGGGTCCCAACGGCTGCTTCCAGGCGCGCTACACCGAAGAAGCCTTGCGCGATATGCGAGATGGCCAGGTAGCGCCAGTGAGCGACCGACACTGGCTTCCGCGGCAGTTGGGAGGCAGAGTTTGCCGTCTGGCGGGTGCCGCCGACTGCAAGCAGGGCACCATGAGTGAGGATCACCGGCTTCGGTTTTCGGAGCTACAGCCGGACTGGCTGGAACGGCACGCAGAACTCAAGCTGTCCTTAGGCCTGGCGGAAGGCTCTCAGGAGCTTCCCAGCGACTCCGAGGGCCTGCAGCTCAAGCTGGGGCCGCCAGACATCCTGGACGTGCTTGTCAACCTCACGGGCATCACCCACGACGGCGAGACCGTCTACTTCAACGCCACGGCCGCGGTGGAACAGGAAGATGTGGTGGTGACGCTATTCAAGTACCCGCCCTACCAGCTGACAGAGCTACACCTCTACTTGACAGTGCTGTTTCCAGATCCGGACTACGCCGCAGACTGGTCCGACAGCACGGCATCGCTTGTCAACTCCACAGAGGTTTCCTTTCGGCGTTGCGACGAGAGCAGATTGTTCAGGCACAGGTACCTTGTGTGTCAGGCAGGTAACCAGGGCTGGCGGTCACTGACGGCTAAGATTGCCCTGGCTCCCTGGGACCCTACTGAAACGTCCGCGTTCTTTGACGTCCGAAGCAGTGCAAGCGGCCAGGAGAAGGGTTTGAGCTTGCGGCGGAGCGTGAAGCTCAGGCTCCATGAAGTTGCGAGTGTGGGCGCCTGGGCTGTCCCGCCGGAGCAGAATGCATGCACCTTCCTGGGCACACCAGCCGACCTGCATGCCAACACGTCCGAGGAAACCCAAGCCGGGTCCGGCTCGTCCCCGCTCGCTGCGCTCGACTTCGACTCGCCGAGCTTGCAGCAGATTCGAAGGGCAGCCGCCACAGGAGCAGCGTGCGAGTTCACCAAGCGTGGCTGCCGTAAAGTACATTCCCACGCCTTCGGCGAGAGCGTCGCCGTCTCAAAGCTCGTGCTCGATACAGAGGCCACAAGCATCGTGATAAAGCTTTTTCGAGATTATGATGCCTTTCGCAGGGCTGGCCTAGACGCTGCTGATGATTCTGATAGAAGTGCCTTCAAATCTATGATCCAGGAATCGCTTAGGGAAGCCATTCCAGATTTGGCGCCGGCACTCTGGCGTGCGTTTCGGTGCATGCTCCAGGCCAATGCCAGCCTTGCAGGCTCTTGCAGGCCTTGTGGAGGATTCCTGAACACGTCGGAGTTCCTTTGCTGTGGGTCAGAAGAACACCTGCGAGGATTCCTCCAATTAGATTTTCTGCCAGGACTCCCGCCTGGATGGCCGCTTGCAGCTTCCAAGCTGCCAGCAATCCTCCATGGCAAGCCGGACGACACCGATGATCTCCTCCTGAAGCTGACCTGCACGGCGCTGCTGGCTAAGCCCGGTAGTGGGAGCGAGGAAGCGCAGCCTTTTGAAGATAACATGCTGAACGCCGCCATCAAGGCCGCCAACTTGCAGGCCCTGAACTTGACCCTGAGACACTGCAGAAGAAGCGACAACTTGGCAAAAAAACAAGCCCAGGCGATCTGGCAGCTCTCCAGCCAGGGTCTGCCCATGCTTCAGCTCATGTGGAAGGAGTTCCCACAGCATTTGAACGCGCTTTTGCAAAACTCCGTGGACGACCGCTGCGAGGTTTGCCTCATGGCCTGGCACGCTTCAGAACCAGCAGGGGCCTGTGACCGGGCAAGCGGTCTAACGAGCAACGTGAGCTTGATTCTCGAAGAAGCAAGTGGTGGCGGGGACATTGACCCGGCGCTCGGGGTGCAGGAGAGTAGGGACTTCGCCCAGTTCTTGGGACAGCTCGTGGAAGCACCGCCATGCCTTTTGTCTGCCGTGTCGCATCTGCGAGTGGAGAACATCCAGTCGATCGAGTCTGCAAAGGCTGCTTTCAAGCTCCTCACCGTCGCTGCCAAATCAGTCAGGGACTTGGAGTTGAGAGTTTTTTTCGAATCCAGACTACGTGGTGGATACCGTGATGAAGATGTCGCTGACTTGGTGGAGTCTGTCCAGCGGTTGGGGCAGCTCCGTTCCCTGGTTCTTGACAGTGTATCTTTTGATGACAGCATGGAAGGCCTTGCCAGAGCGCTGCTGAGAAAGGTGCCGCATCTCAATAGCGTGACCCTACGCTCTACATCAGTGTCTGCACGTGAGCTGGCCGACTCGCTGAAAACCAGCTCGGACTCACGACCGTGCCAGCTGCAGAAGATAATACGTGCAGAGGCCCGCTATGAGGAGGAGGAGGAGGCAAAGGCACTTGTGGATGGGCTCACCCACTGCAAGGCCCTCATCTACGTGGATCTTTGCGGCGAGGCTTCAAGCCTTGGCAACAACGCATCAGAGGAGATTCGTCAGGTGGTCAGGGGAAAGCCTTGGAATGGCCTCAGAGCCTTCCGCATAAAGTCCGAAAAGGGCAAGTGCATAGATATCAGCAATCCAGACGCAGCTTCTCCGTCCTAAAGTTGGACAGGGCAGCAGTAGTGGATGTGCAGCCTTCTTCCAACTCTCAAGTCCCATGTTGAGCCGTACAGCTGGGATGCCTGCTAGAAGTATCTAGAACGCAGGCAAAGACTTCACGTCTGCTCAGGCAATGCGGTGAGAGATTCGTCCTAGCCGCACAGTCAGGTAAGTATGCAATCGGTTCTGACTCGCGCACACAAGCCGGTGTGGTTTGGGAGACTCCTGAAACCCGTAATTGCTGTCAAGTATCTTGCCTTGTTTGTTGCTTCAGCCTGCCTGGGAACCCAAGTAAGAGGAAAGGCGGTGAGACGGCCACCAACTTTGACGCATGTCTACAAAGAGTGAGGCATCGCATGAGCCACAAAGCCACAATTTCCCCTGCTGTTGATGTCATCTCTGCTTCTGGTTGTAATGTTATACTCATTGTGAGCAATATCTCAATCTTGTACTGAAAGAAGCCACTGCTACTGTTGCTGGTGTCTGTCCATTTCTCAATCCTTCGCCAACGCTGCAGCTGTCTCCTTAAACAGAGGGAGCTGCCCATCGTGGAAGAAGGATCCATGCAGGTGTTTAGTTAGGGTTCAGGGGTGGGTGTAAACCAGAAAGAAAAAATCCAAGCGAACTTACCCACATCCGACCCCAAACACGAGCGGAAGCCTTTGCAGTAACGCTTGTAGAACCCTTGTTGAGCCTGTAGACCCGCTATAGATGACCTGTTAGCTGAACTCAGAAAGGCTGCCGCACCATTGCGTCTACATCATGGGCATCGTGTTTCTGTTCGCTGCTCATGCTCCAGCCACAAGGATGGACATTGGCAGTCTTGCATACCCAAAGGGTCCTATGTACTGTTATGAGGGATACTTCCGTAAGTCATAATAGTAATGCCTGATATGGAAACCCTACAGTCTACTAGAGTCTACTATATCGGTACATAGGACCCTTTGGGATAGTGGGTTCATGGCTTGGGCTCTAGGGCGTTTGGGTTTTGGGTGTGAGCCTCTTAAATTCTAAGATGCCCTAGTATTCTTATTCCCTTTTTGTAGTCCTAGGTTCCCTAATGAAGTTACCCAGTACCAAAAAGGGAGCCCTCTATTTTCCTAGGTTACTGGGTATCGTAGAATTTGAGCGTTTAGGATTTATTGGTAGGAGGGTTCAGGTTGGTGGAAGCACATGTGTCTGAGATCTAAGGTAGGCATTGAGTAAGCCTAGGATTCTCACAATTTTGCTATGTGATTTCCCTGGAATTACGATCGAGTCTGGCTAGGGGCCCATATATACACCTATTTACACACATATCACATGTTCACATGTGTGTGTATATATATATATATATTATAGATGTATACCGATAGCTTTTTCTCTTTCTCTCTCTCTCTCTCTCTCTCTCTCTCTCTTTATATGTATGTATGTATGTATATATATATATATACATAAACAGTTGTGCGTGTGCATAGATGTATACATACATGTCTTCGTGTGTATGTACACGTGTATGTATATATATATATATATATATATGTATATATATATATATATATATGTAGGCGGATAGGGTCTTGGGGTTTGAGTTCAGGGTTTGGCCTTGGGGTTTGCGATTAGTATTCAGCCTTCAGGGTTTAGGGGTTTAGGGTCAGGGCCGCGGGGCCTAAAAACTATCCTAAACTTAAACCCTGAAACAGGTTGTTTAGTGATTTATGTCACAGTGCCTCGCAAGAAGGGATCCTCAAAGAAGGATGACCCCCTCAAGCCCCTGAACCATCAGAGCCCTATCATCCCGGGAAGCCGTAACGCTTGAAACTCTTTCCGACTCCGCTTGTTGACACAGGAGTGGGCAAGATTCACCAGAGGCTCCCACACTCCATTGCAAAGCATCTCCCAAACCACTCTGGCCCTCAACACTGTGCACCCATGCTCGGAGGAATGGCCCTTCCCTAAGGTTTCGTTCGATATCCTGTCTTCTTTCGATGGCCTGAACTGGCATGTGCCACCCGGCCTGGGAACAGAGAACCATGCTCCAGAGTGGGAGTTTCCGAAAATGGGGGGGTACCTTATTTTGGGTCCTTTTAATAAGGATCCTACTATTCAGGGTCCTAGAATACGGTCCCCTGTTTTCGGAAACGCCCGAGTGGCTCCCGGAGTTTAGTCAGTTACAATTGTGTGCAACTGAGGCATGCTTCTGGTGACGTATGGGATTACACGAACATATGTTGTAAGAGAGTCGTAAGCTGCTTACAAGTAGCCTGTTCGGGGCTGTGGTCGCACCCTACTTGGTGCAAAGACCAGTGTTCCGTTCCTAGGATCCGGCTTCAGTTGCGTTCAGAGTTTGGAGGGTGACGGGTAGGGCCGGAAGATATAGAGCGACAAGCCTGTCAAGCAAAGCACGGCGAGGACTCCGCTACCTATTGCCCCCAAGCTTGAAGACCAAGGCACCCGAATCCCTACACCTTCAAGCCTCAAACCTTGAAACCCCCACACCCCAAACGCACGAAACCCTCAACCACAAAACCTCCACACCCTAAATCCACTGAACCCCTAAACCCTAAACCTTATGCCCTGAACCCTAAATCCAAGCCTCTTTGAGGCTTTTCAGTATCGACCACCGCGTGGACACTCCTCCGAACCTCTCGGAATCCGGGCTCTTCTTCAGGAGCTCATAGGGTTTAGGGGTTTAGGGTTTAGAGGTTTAGGGTTGAGGGTATTTAGGGGTTCAGGGGTTCAGGGGTTTCGGGGTTTGGGGTTTAGGGTTTAGAGAACCCTACTTCCCAAAGGGTCAGGGTACCATTATGGTAGTACTTAGCACAGATATTCGGGCCGCAGAAGCATATACTCTACCACTACCCTTTGGGCTTGGAAGGCCAGGGACCTAGCAAGTAGTCTTTTCTACCGAGTAAGAGTAGGTAGCCATTAACCTTTTTTGGGTAGTATAGTCCCTATATAATCCCTTTATACCCCAATGGTTAACCTTTAGTTCCCCATGATACCCGACAAGTATGTTTAAGACTTGTACTCTGCATAACATAACCCCAATTAGGAGCCCGTTTGGGGAAAGTCTGGTGATGACCTACTGATTAAGCCAAACTCTCACCTCCTAAACCCTTGCCTTCCAACACCCTTTCGGAGCTCAATACACAGGAGGTACTGTTTGTACATGTTCTGGGTTCTGAACTACCGTACTTGAGTACATGTTCTTGCCGTAAGGAAGCCATCATGAACTAAACGTCTGTGCTTTATTCTCCCCGGTTACTTCAATGTCCGGGTACAGGCTAGCGGCTATCTATCATAATAAGATCACCAGGCTATTTACCACGGATCCCCATGATCGTGCCTTGAGTCATGTTCCCTGAACCCTCAACCCCTGACAAGAAATTTGATGCCTTATAACTTTCGGGAACGTAGTTAAGTTCCCTGTAGATCCTTCTTATGATGTTTTAACTAAGGTCCTACTAGATCCTTATTATGGCAACCTCGAGGTAAAGTCGTGTAGCCCTAAACCTTAACCCTGAACCTTTAAACTCTAAACCCCAAACCCGAAGCCCTAAACTCTGAGCCTTAAACCCCGAACCTGAAACTCTAAGCGCTACACTAAACACTTTAAACTTTAAACCCTATAAGCCCCATAAACCCTTTAAGCCCTATATACCCTATAAGGCCTATAAACCCTATAAACCCTATAAACCCTACAAACCCAAAAAACCCTAAACCCCAAACAAAGAGCCCAGGAAGTGCCGATCGCGCGGCCTCCGCAGCCGGTGAAGTGGTTCAAACTCCAGGTCGTCCCTTTCAAAGAGCCCTCAAAGGAACCCTTACAGGGTTCCTTAAAAGAGCTCCTGTTAAGGGTTCCCTTAAGGCGTCCCTATGGGGGTTCCCTTGGAGGAGCCCTTCAGAGATTCCTATAAAAGGAACTTTTAAAGGAAAGGGATCTATACAGTGCTCGGGGTTCCGGGGAGTTTCGGGGGTAATGCCCTTTTACAGCTGAGTAGGTCGGACGATCGATTTTGTGAAGGATTTTGGGCTGAGGGACTAAGGGTTTAGGGTTTCAGAGTTTGGAACCAACGGATGAAATACTATGCTAAAAGGCTTTATCTCAGTCCATACAGCGGCAAGATATTCTTGCTGGAGAAACCCTAAGCGCTAAACCCGAAACCCAATGTCCATGTAAGGTTTCGGGCAATAATCACTAAAGTGTCCCGTTAACGTCCTCGTAGACATTAGAGGTATACGATAACATACTCCTCGACCCTGCTCTAATTGTAAAGGCCCCGATCTAAACTACTAGGCGGTCTCGAAAGGATGAAATGTTGTTTGGTTTACTACCGGACTCACCAGGAGCCCAACACCCTTTAAGGCCCTAGAGTTTAAGGTATGTTCCTTAATCAAGGAGTATTGGGCTTTCTGGGATTTGATCTGGCCTTAGCAGGGTTATTTCCAGGGCTATCAGGCGGTTTGTGTGCAAGGATTTGTAGGTGTTCTTTCCAGTGCTCCTGCAGCTTGGAATGGGTTGATGTCGTGTTTTGTAAGGGGTTCTGAGGGCTCCCTTCTATGATTCTATAAGCCTGAGGGTGCAGGACTTGTGAAGCTGTAGCCCATCTTCCTTCAGCGCATTCTCCCCTCCCTCAAATGCTACCTTCACAGTAACTAGTTCACCTATCTTTTGGGGTTCCTTGTGTTTTGTTGTTGTTGTCTTATAGGGTTCATCTACCTGAACCTTAAACTTCAGCACTAAACCCCGAACCCTAAAGCCCAAACCGGAAACCCTGAAACCTAAACCCTGAACCCGAAACCCTGAACTCGAAGCCTCAACACCGTCATCGAGAGCTTCGCAGGTCCGAGAGGGAGTCTACGAGAACAGTGGCCCGGCAAGTCTTGGCTTGGCCCGACCCAAAAGGTTCCATCGGAGGCTGCTTTAAGGGGATCCTTTGAGGGTTCCCTTAAGGGTACCCTAAGGGTTTAGGGATATTCAGGATATATAGGGATCCATGTACGCACATGTGTATATTTAGACATGAAAAGTGTTCGTATGTGTGTATATGTAAATATACATAGATAGATAGATGGATAGATGGATAGATAAGCATCTTAAGGCCTCAGGCCAATTTGTATACTATATGGGCACATGAGCCTCAGGACTGTCAAGGGCACCAAAATTGTTTCACAAGGCTTTTATAGAGGTAGTATAAGGGTTCTACATGGGTGCTTCTACCTAGACCCTACAACGCGGTACATGTGTTTAGGTACCGCAGTTTCTTATCATAGGGTCCTAACCATGAGAAGCGGCATCCAACCAATGACTAAATTCCAGGGTCGGGGTAATGTGAATTCCCCAGCAAGATGCATTGGCTAGTTGAGGGTATGGGTTCGTAAGGGCCTACAGTACCCTGTGGTTTAGGGTTTAGGGGTTTGGGTTTTGGGTTTTGGGTCAAGTGGTTTCGGGTTTAGGGTTTCTCACTACGCTAACCCCTAATAACCTATCTTCTTGAGGACTTATACAAGGAAAGTCGAAGAAAGAGCCCTGACACGGTAGACTTCTGTATAGGGTCCAGGTAATCTGCAAAGCATGGTTCGGAGCTCCGCCTAGTCAGGCTTCAGCGTCCGGGGCATCCTGCGCCAAGACGCGAATCACCCCTCGAACGCTTCGAAGTGACCTCTGCTGCGACAAAACGATGGGAGTAAAATGTGGGCATGCAGCATGGCCAAAGCTGGTCATCGAAAATATGTAGTCTATAGTTCTGACGGATCTTCCTTGTCGACGGTAAGATACGGTAAGGTTCTGGGTTTGGACCACATGTCGGAAGCCCTACATTATCTACAAGGTCATACCCTAGCCCTCTTTTAACCTGACCATGAAACTAGCTGCCCCAAACATAATGGGTAGGGTATGACCCTACCCTAAACCCTATAAGCCCTAAACCCTGAACCCTAAGCCCTAAACCCTAATCCCCAAACCTTGCATTACTTCATGACCGGATCCCCAAATCTAAGCACCTTACCAAGCTCAGAGGCTCCCGATCAGCCTGTAAGATGTCGAAAACGGAGGGGCAGAGCTTCGGACCTAAGATACCGGCCGTTCCCAAAAGGGTTTCATAGGGTTCCTTTAAAGGGGGGTACTACAAGGGCAACTATAAGGATTTCATACAGGGCCCAAATAATTGCCAATACGATTTTGGGGGTTACTGATTATAACTATAGTATAAGGGGGCCCAAAACTCTATTCTAATTATTAAGGCCCCTGTATGATCTATGTGTAGCCCCATGTAAGCACTGACCCCAGATTCCCCCCGCCCCGTCTCAAGACTGAGGTGGAAGCACGATCCCTTTGTCCTAAGGATGCAAAGTTTCTGGTTTGTATGAATACCGTTTGAGCCCTTGGGCTGTTGGTGTTACTGGCGTTCGTCCTGAAGCCGAGACCCGCTTTGCTTGTTTACACGAGATTGCTCCACTTGGCACGCACGAAGTTGTTGCAAAGAGCGGAAGTTCTAGCACTAAGTGGAAGGGTTGAGCCGATGGTGTTCAGGAGTGCACTTTCCCATTATAGATATCCCGAAATGCTGCATTAAAGCTTGACTTACTCAGGATTCTGGGGAGAGAAAGAAAGAGAGAGAGAGAGAGAGAGAGAGAGAGAGACGGGCTTTCGCGGCAGGGTTTGAAGATGCAGTGTATAGTTGGTAAAATGTAGTTGTCGGAACAAGTACCGACATTGTTCCTTAGGGTTCCTTGTGGAAATTTTGCAACATACCCAAAGCCCTTTTTTATTTCGTGAGTCGGTCAGATACAGCGCCGGTGCATGCACCAGAAGGATGGCCAAGGTAAGGAAAGAATGATCTGAATTATTCTTCTAGCTCCAGGTACCCAGATCGTACGTCACAAGCCCTATTCTATGCAACACAGTAAACCGTTTTTTTGGTAACTGGAGCCTGAGGTCTATGGCGCCGATGTGGGATAATCGATAATTTCCGCATTCTATAGAACTTAGAACTCCAACTACCGACTTTGGGGGGTGGGGAGTGAAGCATGTAGTGGTTGGGTTGAAGTTGTGCTTTTTTTGGACTGTCCAAGGATGCACCTGATGGTTGACCATATCATTTGCTTGCTCACAGATCCAGGTAGTCAGCAACGTTTCGATTTAGACTGGCATGTGAGCAGCAAGACCGACCACTCGCTCCCCGACCTTGCCTGAAGATCGTGATCATCGGACCAGGTGCGCCGTCGTTGGAGCTTCCGTGCAAGTTCGACGAGGGTGGTGTAGTGCACGTGTCTGAAATTGTGCACAAGCCAAGTACACCTTCAAAGCGGTTAACACAACTTTGCGAATGTTAGCAGCAACACCTGACCAAGCTGCACCAAGTCTCGAAGCGTTGCAGCTCTGCTGTTTCCATCGGCGGCTTTCAACATCCAGCTTGGGAAGGTACTATTTAGCACTGGTGATAGTGCATTCAAGTGGCCACTGGCACCGTACTGGTTTTCTCAATTGCTGGTGGCAAGAGCTGCAGCTAATGCAGTTTTCGGTGAATGCGAGCAGGGTAATGGGTGGGATTTGGCATGGCTGCATCTGCCATCACAATAATATTCAGCTACCAGAGCTTCAACTTACACAACTGGTCTATGTGTTCCGTCTTGCAGCAGCATGTAAGTCTGCTTGTGTCAGTAATTTGCAGCAACACACAATGCCGACGGTGCATCCCGGCAACCTTTGCCGAGCAGCCACACGCACTAGGCAGGTGCAATGTGTTTGCTGCCGGTCCCGGTGCGTGTGGCGTCCTGGCAGCCGTTGTCCTGCCGTGCCAGGATGCCGCAGGTCGCAAGAGAGATGCAGCTGGATGCAGTGTGGTCGCACAACCCTTTTGCCCAACAGAGATAGGAGGTGGCAGGTCGTATCGGGGATGCTGCCGGAGCAAGCAGGGTTCTGGCATCGTCCTCCACGCCGCAGTGAGAGGCGGCTGCTGGACTCATCGTGGATGCTGCTGGTGCAAGCGGGGTTCTTGCGTCGTCCATGCCGCAGCGAGAGGCGGCTGCTGGACCCATCGTGGATGCTGCTGGTGCAAGCGGGGTTCTTGCGTCGTCCACGCCGCAGCGAGAGGCGGCTGCTGGACCCATCGCGGATGCTGCTGGTGCAAGCGGGGTTCTTGCATCGTCCACGCCGCAGCGAGAGGCGGCTGCTGGCCGCATCGTGGATGTTGCCGGTTCAGGCGGAGTTCTTGCATTGTCCTCCATGCCGCAGCGAGAATCGGCTGCAGACACATCGTGGATGCTGCCGGTGCGAACGGCGTTCTTGGGACGTCGTCCACCCGCTTGTCTTGGGGCAGCCGGCATCCTGGCAACCTTTACCACCGATAAAAAAGGTTTTGTGGACTGGAGGTGTCGATGCAAGCCGCAGGTTAGTTCAGCTTGCGCATCCGGCAAATGGCAGACTGCCTGACAGCAAGCGCACGTTGTCTAGAGTTGCGCTTAGCACGAATATGGTTCACCCAGACCTTCCAATATTGCTTATACGCAATATACTTCAACTGATATTCGGATCCCCAAAATGATTTAAGGAGTTATTGCTTAATCAGGACATGTTACAAATAGGTTTGTAATATATATATATATATATATATATATATATATATACATATATAAACACGTAGATATACACAGATACGTATATGCACATATTGGAAGATCTTGGCAGTTATATTCAGCTGCAAATGCGAGCCGAAGAGATTGCGCACTGGTCTCGCAGTAGCGCCAGGACCACGAATGGCGGGTGATAAGTTCAAGAGCTGTGTTGGCCAACAGGATGTGAGGCAGGCGCACAGCAATATAAAATGGACAGGGGTTGCTTTGCGCAGTCGGGTCTTGATTCTTGGGCAATGCTCAGACAGCGGAATGCCGAATTTTATAGAGCAATACTCTCCCATGTTCAAGATCTTCACCATCGAACCTTACCTGTCCGCTCCTGCAGTCAACCTCCGTCAGTTCAACGTCTCGGTGTTTTTGAAGGAAGCCTCAAATGCCGAACCCTCTTCATCCTTAGCACCCCCAGCATGCAAACGACACGGTTTCTGACAAGGGGGCTTTGCAAGCGAGTCGTTCTGTCAATCGCAGATTGCGGATGTTTTAGTTTGGTTGCAATGTTTTGAAGTTTGCTTGCTATGTCTTACAGGGTTTTTTCTGGGTTTTTATTGGGGCTCTCGGTTTTCTGTCACCCCAACCAAGATGGTGGAGACCCGAAACATCTGAGCTGAACAGACTGCTACCAACTATATTTGTTGCCGAGGCAATACAACCTTGGGATGCTTCTGATCTCTGGGAACGGCGTGCCCTTTGGGGCAGAGATGCTTGCACGGGCGGCTTTAGAGCAGGATTCGGACGGCTGAAGAAATCAGGCTAAGTCGACATGGGTTACAACATGCAACACGGACTTACCAATGTGAAGCCTTTTGCAACTACCAGAAGTCGAGAGTTGAGAAACTCGGCCGTCATTGTCAATGTTGTTGGCCCGACAATGCGCAACAATTGTTAACTAGCTTGAAAACCCAGCCGTAGCGGAGAAGTTCCCGTATAGAATCCCGGAGAATAAGCCATGTAACACTTTACAAGCAATCCCACAAGATGCCGGCCTTGAGTGGAAGAAGTTTACTGGAGTTTCGAGCCGTATGTAATTTGTGAGTGCCTATGAGATGTTTGCTTAATCTCATGTGTTTTGCAGGTGCCACAAGATTCGCAGGAAGGAGCTTTTTGGCTTGAAAAGGCCAGAATAGCTTTGTTGGGGGCTAGTGGACTGGGATGTTGGGGAAATTTTGGGATCTATCTGGGATCGTAGGACCTGTATGGCAGGGGGGTATAAACACTGCTTTTCCGAAAGCTGCAAGCATTAGCGGGCTGACTTGCAGGAATACATCCGGAAAGTTTCAAAATGTAGCATACGTAAACAGAGGATTGCCAGCCAGAACAAACCCAAGCATGCAGCCGCCGTTTGATGCTGTTCTGGTGTGGCTTTTGGGCTTGAAAAAAGCCCTAACTCCCATGGGTTTAAAATGTAGAATTTAGGGCAGATTGCATCCCAGCTCGAACAGGCTTGGTGCGTAAATCAATGTGGGTTTAGACAGGTCCTCGTCTGCTATAAATTATACTTTGAACTTGAAACCCTAAGCCAGAAACCCCTAGCTGAGCAGGCCGCTGACCAGGACATGAAGATGGCGCAGTACTTCTTCGCAGTCACGCCGATGCCCTAAAGGGTTCACACCGTATAGTTCAGCACAATGTGGCGACCTTTCTGGCTTTGGGTGTGCCGGTGGCATCGTTGTCGCGAGCCCGCATGGCGAGGCGTTTCGAATCCCAGCAGCGACTCCCATTCCAGGAGAGCAACCTGCCCACCCTCTGGGCCAAGAGTTCGCAAGGAAACCTCAACCAATCAAACCCGAAATCTGTCATCAAGGCAGATAACTCCATCAACAATCTCTTTATTGAGTAATCTCCTCGCGAGGAAGACTCATTGTATACTTCAGCATTGCCTGCAACTGGCGCCATCACTCAAGCATATCTGAGATTGCAATGATCATCATCGTTGCTTAAGCCTGCAGCTGGATGTTTTCAATGAACGCCGGAATGCTGATCGCCGAGTCCTTCAACTGATTTGTTTCAAGCGTCGTGAGTAACCTATGTAGCTGGAATAACAGTAATACTAGCAACAACAAACCAATAAGTGACGATAACCAGAAGGATACTAATAATATCTATGCAAGATCAAGCCATGCCCCGGTGCAAAGGAACGACCGCTGTGAAACGACAACGACCCTCTGACAATTGTGCACACATCCTCTCCTGCACTGTCGCCTGCTTGACTGCTCCAAGCAGCTTCTCCTCAAGACATGTCCACTGCATGTGCGCTTCGTCGCCGCCTGATCTTTCATGAGTCGGAAGTCAAGTGCAGCTTGACAGCCGCCAGCTCTGCTTCAGTGCCCCCAATCCTTCAACCCTAAAAACCCTAAACTCTAACACGTAAAGACCCAAACCCTTAAAGCCCTAAACCACAACCCACAAACCCGAAGCCCTAGATCCTAAACCCCAACCCCGCTAAATCTCAAACCATGCACCTCAAAACCAGGTGCCTACAGGAGGGGGTCGACGGTGACGAGGCGAAGGCTTGGCGCCTTCGAGATCGACCCAAGCAGATACTAGTATGGGAGTTTCTCCCGAATCCAGAGAATTCGGAATACTTTAATTTGGGATATTATCGGGGTCCTGATGATATGGACCCTACTATTTAGGGAACTATACTCGGGTCCACCTATTTTCGGAAACTCCTCTATCTCCTAAACGGTGTTTGAGGTTTCAGGGCCAGGAAGGTTCATGGAATCCTTCCGAAACCGAACAAGTAACAAGTCAGGGCAGTTCAGCCCTTTCGAGAACCGGCGGAATCCAAACGCTTAAGTACAGCAGATCTTCCGGAATCCCTTAACCAATGAACTCACGGTAATTTACAAGAGGATCCCTCGTATGATTGACGGAGATTGTTCCTTAATGGGACAGAGTGCATATTGTAAGATCTGCTACATACGCACACAAACAAAAGAACACCCCCTCAAGCAAGAGCAGCCAAACCCTAAGCACTGGAAAGTCCCAAATGGCCCAAAGGACGTACGTAGTAGAGTATTGATTTTATTATTGCTATTGTTATTATCACTATACTGTTGTTATCACTGTCGTTCGTATGACTATGGTTTAGTTTTGATTATCAGTCAGTGTTATTTTGGGAAGTATCCCCCGTAACAGGGCCCTGGGACCTTAAGTAGAAGTGATCTGCGAAGGCCGCGCGATACATGAAGTCAGCCGCAGAGAGCGGCATTCCGGATGCCCAGCCGGACCCTTGGGTCTACCTTAACCCCAGATAACTTACCTTCTAAGGACATCTATCAAGAAATGAAAATTGGGGTCCAGGTAGGGTTTAGATTACAGGAGTTTGTCTGATTGGGTTTGGGATCTTGGAGTTTCGAGCTTCCGGCGAGGATTTGGCTAAGATCTCTCTGACGGCGTGACCGTGAAGCCTTCACGCTTGAGATGTTTAGGGTTTCAAGTATTCGGGTTGACTTTGTCATTTGTGCGGGTTTGGAGTTTAGTGTTTAGGGGTCAGAGTGTAGCGGTTCTACAAGGGGAGCATCCTTGGGTCTGTGAGCCCCCTGAAACTTTAAACCCTACCGGAACCCTATAAAACCTACAGTGCAAAGGACGTATAGACGGAATCCGAATAAGGAGCCCTATGAAGCTAGGTTCTTTAGGGTTCAGGTAAGCCCATTCAATAACCCGGTAGCCCTTTGCCTTAACAGCGTCCCTAAACCCCACACAAGCGAAAATCTCAGGGTTTGGAACTGGCTTGGTGAATCCCAGAAAGTCGGAACATGGGTTTAGGATGATTACGGATTCCCTATACTTTACTTCAAGGGCATGAGGATAATGATGTTCCATCTTTCGGGCTTCCACTTTGAAATCTCAAGCCTAGGCCGTCCGGTGTGAGGGTGGAGGAGGAGTTCGGATGGTAGGTTGCTTGTTGTTTCCGTTTTGGTGTAATGGAGTACATCCCGAAGGTCTCGTGGACCTACCATACATAGGGGGCTAAGATTGGTTATCAGTACTACTTTGGGGGTTCCGTTTAGAATTTATAGTGTGATATGCCCCAAACCCTTTTCTAATGATTAATGACCATAAGGCTTATATTACATGGAGCCAGGCTTCATTATCTAGGAATTTGTTCTGCTTGTTGGGTGTTACAAGGTTGTCAAGGGCTTTGTGCACGGTTCTAGAGTGCCCATGTACCTTTGGAATCGACTGAGGCTTTGAACTATTCATGGCTAAGGCACACACCATAGGTACATGGACCCGAAAGGGCATGATGTACCATCGAAGAATTCTTGGCAAGGGAGTTGCCCAAGAATTTGGATGCCCATGAAGCCTGCGCTGCCAATAGCCGCTATCTACTGCAGTCGCGAAGTTACTATGCCCCATGTAGACCACACGCACCAAGACTTAGCCACTGATATTCACGAGACTTTTCACGAGGCATTGATACCCATTGCACAACTATGCCAAGACTGGCTATGCGCGAGGCTGGCAATTAGATCATCGACTGCCCGTCCAGCAGGGAAATATCCGAAATGCCAGTTCCTGTTCAGGTATGCCGCTTGAAGACCCAGCGCAGCCCGAATCCCAAATCGTTAAGCTTAGTGACCCCAAAAACAGATAAGCATAAGCATTTTATGGGGATATCCCATCATATTGGGCTTCAATAAAAGTGGGGTTTATATGGGATGTCCCTTTCCTAAGTTTTGCTT